TTAAATGTACTTTATTTTCTATTTTTCTATGTGTGTCTGTGAGGTACTGTGTGTGTGTGTGTGTGTGTGTGTGTGTGAAGGGTGCTGTGTTTGTGTATGTGTTTGTGTGTCAATGGTGTAGTGTGTGTGTGTGTGTGTGTGAGAGGTGCGGTGTGTGTGTGAAGGGTGCAGTGTGTGTATGAAGGGTGGTGTGGTTGGTGCTGTGGGTGTGGTTGGTGCTGTGTGTGTGATGGGGTGCTCTATGTGTGTGAAGGGTGCAGTGTGTGGGTGAGGGGTGCAGTGTGTGTGAAGGTTGCTGTGTGTGTGAGGGGACAGTGTGTGTGTGTGAAGGGTGCTGTGTGTGAGTGGGGCCAGTGTTTGCGTTTGGGAGAGGGGGCAGTGTGTGTGAAGGTGGCAGCATGTGTGAGGGGGCAGTGTGTGTGAGGGGATTGTGTGTGAGGGGATTGTGTGTGAGGGGACAGTGTGTGTGAAGGGTGCAGTGTGTATGTGAAGGGTTCTGCTTGTGTGAGTGGTCATGTGCAGGGGCGGACTGAGAACCCTCAGGGCCCCCGGGCAAAATAAATCAAGGGCCCCCTTACAGGCCCCACCCATACTCTGCAGCAAGCGCCACCCTTGTCCCGCCTCCATGCACCGCCTCCAGCCACACCCTACACAATCTTTAGACACAAAGAACAAAAGGGCAATAAGCCCTTCGAGGCCCCAGTAGAGACTACAATTGAGGGCTAATGGGCCATGGAGGGGGGTCTTTCTAGCGGAGGCTATCTCAGTGTCCTTTAGAGAGTGTGTTAGATAGAATCCCCTCCAAGCCCCATTAGAGACTACAATGGAGTCTAAAAGGCTTGGAAGGGGGTCTTTCTAACAGAGGCCATCTCAGCGTCCATTAGATATCCCCTGCTGGAAACAGTCGCCTCCAGGCCCCAGTAGAAACTACAATTGAGGGCTAATGGGCCATGGAGGGGATTTCTAGCAGAGGCTAGAGTCTAATGGGGCCTGGAGGGTGGTCTCTCCAACACTCTGGTTCCTATTCACAATATAGCAACACAACATAGCTCGCTGATACCTAAGCCAAGTTGGCTCCTCTTACCTTAATTACTGTTGCTGGCTGGCAGTCTGTGGGCTTGCTGGCTGCGGCTGGCAGGCTGTGGGCTTGCTGGCTACTGCCGGCAGGCTGTGGGCTTGCTGACTGCGGCTGGCAGGCTACGGCTGGCAGGCTGTGGCTTGCTGGCTGTAAGCCTGTGGCTTGCTGTAGGCCTGTGGGCTGGCTAACTGGCTGGCTACTGGCCAGCCTGTGGGTTGGCTGGCTGGCTACTGGGGCACTTGTAGATTATTTAAAGAAATAATCCATGCACAATAACCACTACTGCTCCAGAGTAAGTAGTCAAACCGTTTAAGAACAGTTTGACAACTTACCTGGGGTCTGCTGGGATATGAGGCTGTAGTAGGGAATAGGAGCAGTGGTGCAATGTGTGTGAAAGGTTCAGTGTGTGTGTGGGGGTGTAGTGTGTGAATGTGTAGGGTGTGTGGGCAGTGTATGTGTGTGGAAATGTTAGTATGGGGGGCTGTGTATGGGGGTCTGTGTGTATATGGGTGGGCAGTGTATGTGTGTGTGTGAGGCAATGTGTGTAAATGTGTATGGTGTGTATGGGGGCAGTGTGTAAATGTGTATGGTGTGTATGGGGGCAGTGTGTGAATGTGTATGGTGTGTGTGTGGGGGCAGTGTGTTTATGGGGCTAGAGTTCACTCTCACCACTGCGACCACCAGGAATCCATGGGGGTTACAGTGTTGAGAGTGAACTCTAGCCCGTAGCTCCAGGGCTAGAGTTGACTAGAGTAGAGTTGGCAGTAACGTTGCCATGGTAACCGCGGCAACGCTCTGTGATCGCGCAAGAAGGACCCAGAGGAGCTGCAGGGTGAGCTCCCAGGTCCTCTCTTCCTCCCCTGCCCGCACGGTGCCTGCGGACAGGGGAGGGGGGGCATTCTTCCCTCTCTTTCTCCCCCAACTCTCTATTCCTCCTCTTTCTCCCCGTGTCTCATTCTTCCCTCTCTGTCTCTTTCCCCCCCTCCCTCTATTCCCCCTCTTTCTCCCCGTGTCTCATTCTTCCCTCTCTGTCTCCCCCCTCCCCATCTCTCTATTCCCCCTGTGTCTCATTCTTCCCTCTCTGTCTCTTTCTCCCCCTCCCCATCTCTCTATTCCCCCTCTTTCTCCCCGTGTCTCATTCTTCCCTCTCTGTCTCCCCCTGTGTCTCATTCTTCCCTCTCTTTCTCCCCATCTCTTTATTGCCCCCCCTTTCTCCCCCTTCCCCATCTCTATGTCCCCCCCTCCCCATCTCTCTGTCCCCCCCTCTTTCTCCCCCCCTCCCCATCTCTCT